TACCCAGTTGATTTCAAAATAAAAATTTTCACTATATGCTGGGTAAGACTTAAAGATTTTATAATTTTGTTAAAAAGTTTAATAAAATAATTAATAGAAACATGAGTTTTAAGCAGTAATATCCAATATTCATTTAATTTAAATCAAATATATATTAATTCGAATTTGATGCTGAAAATGGAGTAGATAATTCAAACTTAAATATATATAAATAACTATTACTTATTTTTTGAAACCTCAATTAAAAATAAATAAACATCAACGTTTATATAATTAACTAGTCAACGCCAAATCCAAGAAATTAGTTTGTGGACAAATAATCTTTTAAAAATGTTTTTCATTTTTCATATTGTTATATTAATGAATCATTATCCTTATTTTAAGTAGAAAGTCTAATCCATACAAAAAGTTTTCAATTTTGTATTCTAAAAATATCATATTTAAATTACAAATGTTTCCAATTTTTCTGATCACTTCTTAACCTCATTATTTATTAGAAAGGTATTAAATGATTAATCGAACATCCACATTTAACTTTTTTTGGCGTTAAAAATTGGGTTAGCCCTTTCATTTTTATACAATAACGTAGCTATTTTTTTAAATATAACAGACTTTTTAATTATAGTATTATTTTCATCAAAATAATTTAAAATTAATTCATTATTATCTTTATAAATATGCATATTTAAACTTTCTAAAGATATATGATTTTAACAAATAACTTATTAATTTTTTTATTCATTTTTATTTGAAAAATTGATATTATTGAATAATATTTTACAAAATATATATAAAAATAATGTTTGTAAAAATATTGCTTTTCTCAACCATTCTAACATTTCTAGAAGCTATACCCTGTTTAGAAATAAATAAGGATAAAGATGAATTTTTCAAGTCAGCTTATAAAGAGCCACTACTCATTAATACTAATTAAGCTGAATTTGAAAATATTCAAAGTATAGGATAAGAAATTCTTTAATTAGATTATTCATTTTATTATTAAATTGATGGAATTTTTATTTCTGCTACTTTATTAAAATCATTTTAGAATTAGGATATATAACAAATTTGCTACCTTATGATTAATTAAAACACTTATTTTATATAATGTATAATTGGATTTACTTTTGCTTAAGAGAAAATGAATTTTGAGTACTCTAATAAAACTTTAATTATAACTTAATATTATGATAAATGTGAATCAATATTTTATGATGCAGACACTAATTTTACTATATTTTGCTACTCAGAGGATTATTTTAAATTAATTTCTACAAATTTAGATGATAAAAATTCATTATATATATAGCATAATTATACTTAAACCCATAATTTTAAGTATTGCAAGTAATTATTTGCTTGACATTGTCAAACCTCCTTCCATTTAAGTGGGTCTTGTTCCAAAATTCTCTTAAAGTTCTCCTTTCTTAGACTATGGTTTAGGTTTTGTAGATCCTTTAAGAATTTCACTTTATTCATTGGGTGATGTAGCTTACAAAACATCATTTCTTGTTTTAACTCTTGAATCATATCGATTAGGACTTTTAGATGGAGCTCTATTGTTTGAGTTGTTTTGTAAATCCTTATTGATTTATCTAAAATCTAATGGATTGTTATTTGAAGATTTTAGATTTTCAAATCCTCCAGTTGATTTTTAAATTTATTATTTATTTATTGGTTTATAATCTTTGGGAGTTTGGAATCTACGCGGACTCATAACTCGAACTTCAGGTTTACGAATATCTTCAAATTTTTCATCCTCTATTTGTCCTTTTTTGATGGGTTCCTTTAATTTCTTGACATATTATTCTCTAACCTATTCCTAATGATCTTTCCATTAAGTATATGTTGCATGTACAGTTCTCTTATCAAAATGTAATTCATCAGCTGGTTTCTTCTATTATCCAACCGGTTTCTAAGGTGGTGGAGTAGGAATAGGTTAATCTCTCATAGGACTTACTTAGCGTATTTATTTAGATTGCAATTAATCTAACTAATTCCATGCTAAACTCATTTGAACTTAGGCTTCTGAATCGAATTTATTCTGAATAGTAATTTTATCAATGATAAGAGGAAGATTATTCTCAATGTAAAACCCTAAATTAATGGTTGCTTCTCCAAAAATGGTTTAGCCATCATAAAAGTAAAGTTTCAACTACATATATATGCAATAATGTAATACATTTCCTTTCTCAACATATTAAACATTTAATTCAATTTTTTCCCAAATTTCTTGAATCTCTTTTGATTTGCATTTTACTTTTGATTCCAATACAGTAGTGGAGAAGGCTAAGGATAGATGTTATGAATACAATCACTTAATTTAATAGAGCATTATTCAAGTGTGGAGCCAATGAAAAATTGGATTGTTTATACTTCTATATCAAGATGTAGCATTTTGAAATAAAATATGTTATTTTATTAATTAATAACTTGATCAAAAATTGTAAAGAAACTTATTGATATATGAATATAAACATCTTCTACAAAAATCTATTAGAAATGATATTGATAAAGAATAATATATAAATGCCATTTAATTTTCATAAATTAAAACAATTCTTCATGTTTGCCAAACCACAAAATCTTAATGATGGTAGTTTGGTACTAAATCCAAAAGCAGCACATAAATATTCTTTAATTTGGGTAACAGAAATAATAACAACAATTAGATGCATGGTTTGGGAGATACAGCATTTGGATTTTTGGATATCTTTGAGTAAATGCCAATAGTCAAAGCAGAAACTAAAGTATACTTACTTTAAGCACCACAAAGACCTGTAACAATTAACATGGGTATGAAATGCACAAGTTGGTTTGATATCAAAGTTCTTAAGACAGATTGTAATATTGAGCTCTTTGCTAATAATTTTAAGAGTGTAATGATTAATTTATTATATGTCTATATAGACTGTATCAATGGAAGAAATAGAAGATTCTAAAAAAATGATTACAAGTTATATAGATTAAGAAGCAAAATTAGTTTCTTCTAAAAATGTATTTATTGGTGGATTCTCTTAAGGATGTTGTATGGCTTTAGAAACAGGCTTGAGTTATCCATAATAATTAGGTGGTATAGTTGGTTTATCAGGTTATTTATTTCCAACAACTTAAATTAATGATGCTTAAAAAGAGACACCTATAATATTAGTTCATGGTGAACAAGATCAAATGATTCCATGTGAATTATCTAAGAAAAGTTATGAAAGATTAGACAATACAAAGAGATAAAATTTTGGTCATCATATTATTCTAAAGATGGGTCATGAAGTTCCAATGCCTACTATTAAATTGATGATTAATTTCTTCTAGAATACATAGAAATGAAAGAAATCATATTGAACATTTATCATTATTAAAATAAAAAGTAATTTATAATTTGTTCTAATTCTTAATTCATTTTTAAGCTTGATTGTATCTTCCTTCTACATCCTTCCAATTAATGATTTTCCATATATTAGTCAAGAAATTTGGTCTAACATTCTTATAATCCCACCAATAAGCATGTTCCCAAACATCAATTGCTAATCATATAAATTTAAGAATACTTACTTAAAATAGGTGTAAGACCATAATTTTATGGAATTTCTTAGTTAGGAAGTTCCAAATATCTTAATTTCTTTGATTATTAATCAACTCCTAAGAATCCCCATCCACTTCCTTAAATAGCAGCAGTTCTAGTATTGAAGAATGTCTTGAAGTTATCAACACTTCCCCAATTTTTATTGATTTCTTAGACTAGAGCACTGTTTGCATCAGGTAATTATCCTCCTCCGTTCTTAATTGGGGTCCTTCATTATTAGTTAAATATGTATACAAGTTTTCCCAAAACAAACTATGATTTAAATGACCTCCCAAATTGAATTTGATAATGCCTTGGATATTAGCAATCCTCTAGACATCATTCTTTGCTAAGGCATCTTCCAATTATTCTTATGCAGCATTAAGATTATTGATATAAGCTTAATGATGTTTTGAATGATGAAATTCAAGAAGTGTTGCACTCAATACTGGTTCAAGATCACTATATCCATACTTAAGAGCTGGTAATGAGTGAGCTTTAAGAGTGCCAAAGAAAAATTAAGAATTCTTGAAAAATTACATATAATTATTTAATAGATATGATTTTTGTGTTTATAATTCATTGATAAAAATTCTCGTATTTCTTTAAAATTTCATCAAATTCCACATAATTGAATTCAATACCCTAGTAAGCAAATCTATAAGAAATTATAATATTTAAATAGTTACCTTTTACAAATGACTCTAAATTAATCATCAGTTAATGGCAATTTATGAAAATCCATTATAGATCTAAATCGAGTAAAAGTAATCTTTCCAGATTTAGTTTTATCCTATAATATTTAAATCATATATATACTTTATCTTGGAAGTGTGGTTTAAGTAAGATTCTATGTTTTTTCACAACTTCCCCTAATCTTAACATAATAGTATGCAAAGCTTCTTCTTCTTCTGAAGTTAAGGCATCTCTAGGATCAAGGAATGTTGGAATAACATGCACAGGAGGTTTCATCAATGGATCTTTATCTAATCCCTANAAATGGAGATATTATATATATCAATGTTGAAAATGGGGTAAGTAGATAAGCAATCACTTATAAATTTGATGTAATTTAAGATAGATTTGTTTAATTTAAAGAATTTGATCTTCCATTTCTTAATGAGGAAACTAATTAAATAAGGATTATTGGCAATTTAATATAATTTTAAATAGGTTATTAATTTTATATATTTTAATTGAAAGAGGAATATATTAATAATATTTATGAAACTATAATTTAGAATGAAATAGTCTATTTATAGAATTCTGATGATGAATATCTTGTAATTAATTAAGAAAAAAATATTTTAATTACTCATTATGATTTCTCAGATGGTAGAGTAAATCCAATACAAACTTATAATTTAGAAAAAATTAAACTTTTATAATTAGTGGAAATTTAGATTGACTTTTTTCTAAATTCATAATTGATAGATTCAACACTATTAATTCTAATTGAAGCAATAAAAGTAGAAAAATCAATACAAATATATAGTATTTTAAATTACTAGGATCTAACATTTTATATAAAATTTAGTTTAAATACTTAGAAAAAAAATGTAGAATCAATTAATATAAAAATTTTAAGAAAAATGGAATATTTAGATAATATAATTTTTATTGATAAGTAAATAGCCATATTTGGCACTTTAGAAGAAAAATTTTATCTTTATGATATTAGATAAGAGAATTAAATTAATGATTCAATTAATATAATAGATTTTAGTAAATTACATTTATAAGTTTATAATAATACACATTATATTTTATTTAATATGTAAAATGAAGAAGCCTCTTTAGTAGAAATTGGATTTGAAATAAATATTACTAATAAATTGGAATTTACTAAGTGTTTATTGATAGCTGAAAATTGGATATCAAAAGCTGAAGTAAAGGTAATCATTTAATAAGAAGAATTTAATAATATTTAAAATAAAAAAAATATAATAATTATATCTATAAGTTTAATATTCATATTAATAGTTTGCCTTATTTTTATATTAAGAAGATAATAATTAAAAAATCAATAATTAAAATAATTTTAGTCAATATCATTTGATTAATCAAAAATAGAATGATTATTAAAATAATAATTTATTAGATTGTAATTTTTATCATTTATTCTATATTATTCTATGATATCAAATATTCCTATTAAAAATTTATTTAAATATTCTAATAGATATTAACTTTTACAGTTTATTTTCAATATTTCAATTAATAAATATTAATCGCTTCCAATTAAATATTCAAAAATTTGGTATATAAAGCTGAAGTTTGTTTCTGCTGAGTTAAGATTTACATAATTTCTATAAGATATATCATCATTTAAATGATATATGCTTGTGCCATGATTTTTATTTCATTTATTTAAATATTCTATTTGATATTCTCTTTTACTTCTAAATTCATTTTGAATTTATAAATATTTTTACATAAAAATAACAAATACAAGAATAAAATGAATAGAAGTATGACCTTTGACCTTTTGTAGATGA